AAATTCGAATACTGGTCGATTTTCACTTGTTGATTCACTTCTACCAAATCCGATAGGAATTTTCTTAATTTTTGAATCGTCCACGGTTTGTCTATTTTCCTTTGAGTGTATACCTTATTAAGAATCCAGGATGGCATCTTGCTTTCTATTATGGATTCGATATTTGGATGTTCTAGGTTGTCTCCTAAAGCCTCCAATTGTCGTAGTACCCGTTCGATATTTTCAATGGTGATCATCCATTCTTTCTCATTTTGTTTGAAAGATTGGAGTTCCCTATACAATATTGACGCTATTGTGGAAGGATCAGCATATTTGTTTTTAGTAATTGTCTTATGATACCGTAATTTTCGGGCGCAATCTCATATCCTGACACTGCTTGTAACGCTTCTCCTCTGAGGCACGAGTACAAATAGTTCAATTTCTGAATGTCAGGAATTGTTTGTGAATGGACAGCAGCATCAAAGCTACTCCAGAATTGCCGCCATTATCTAGGATCTCCATTAAAGGTAGGTAGTGATAGTTGCGGGAGCTGGACTGTGTGGTTGGGAGAAGGAATTATAATTTCTTGTTCCTTTCTTACTACCTTTAAAATTCCTTCTAATTTTTGCTCGGTTTCATTCTTGCGCCTTGTGAGGGTTATTATTGCTTCTTGCCCCTCATGCATTACTCGAAACAATCCTTGTTTCCCTTATAGGACTGATTCGAAAACTTTCTCTTCTTCATCCCTCTTTTTTGGGGTTTGAATGTATGAGAGCCACATCTCGTAGGCCTCTTTAAGTGATTTAATGCATAATTGAACTCTATCAATCTTATCTGCCAGTACTTGGATCCTTGCCGTCTAAAGGTTTCCTCTTTGCTCGTATGATGAGTTCGGATCCGGGGATTCAAATACAAGGGAATTTATCTCTTTAAGAAGAAAAACTAACCTGTTTTTTGCTGGTTCAATACTGGCAATAATACTGCTCGTCATTGTACCTCACCTCGGGCACCAAAAAATTTTGTAGCGAATATTGATAGGGTTCGTTTGACAGGATGATGTCGAAGAAGAGACAACTATTGCCAGTGATATAACGCGGGTTGTAGTAGCGTTAAGTTGAATTGAGTTGATTCAGGTACGATGATTTGAGTTGAGTTGTACACGCACCAGATTGTAGACAATTTATTGATAACCGTGCCTCGGTTAATACCATAGGGTTTATACCTATTAGGAAATGGGAGTGGTTTTCATCAAACATTCATGGGCAATTTCACATAACGGAAACGGTTAGGATCCACTTACAGTAAAAGCACTGTCACAATGAAAGATTAGCATGTGGATAAAGATGCGTCCGGACAAAGATGGGAATTGAGATAAATAATTTGAAACGACTGCTAGCAAAGGCATTTCCTGTTGGACATGAATACAAAGATTTGAACTGAGATAAAGACCGGAAAAACATAGAAATAAATCTAAGGAATGTAGAATTAATTAAATGAGTCATAACATTGGATATATTCATTTACAATAAGAAATTTATTTGATTATATATTTGTATGGTTGGAGTCTCATGAATCGGAATTCGCGACACTCGCGATGCAGATTCCCATCACTTCCCTTCCCGCATGTAGGGGGGATCAAAAGAGCAGGTAAGGAAATAGGAGAACTCCCAGATATATTGTTGAGAATATTGTCATTAATGAGTACTTCTTGATTGGTTCCATATTAAGAAATTATCAGGCCAAAGTACTATATCTCCCAGTTTCAAATGTAGAGTATCCGATAGCGTTGTTATCCTGGAGTCCGTCTGGCCGAGTGGTCTAAGGCGTTGCGTTCAGGTCGCAATCTACTCCGGTAGGCGCAGGTTCGAATCCTGCGGCGGACACTCACTGTTGCAACGTTTTGGAGTGAGATTTCTTCATATTCTTTGGTCTTTTTCGTAGGTAGAAAGCATAATAACGAGGAGAAAAGAAAACATTACTGCAAGCAATTTTCGGGATATTTACTTGTTCTTTCCAATTTTATATTAATTAGATTATAATTATACTGTAATATTGCACAATTATGTGTTGTATCACAAACACTGTCCCAATTAAGTTGGTCCTGTCTAGGACAGTAATGGATACACGAAACGAATGAATCAAGCAGAAAAGAAGGAAAAGAAAGTGATAACGGACGAGTGATTATTATGAGTGCAACGTATTATCCAGCTCTTTTACCGATCTTCCGACATAACTTGTGTAACTGATGTCAGGAGTAGAAACAAAGGAACAATAATCTTCTTTGTCGAAAGCCAGACATCTTTGTTTCATATGCCCATATCGTCTTACGGTTGCGCTAACAAAGAACCCTATACGAATGGACGCTCCATAAGGATGGTAATTCATGTAATCATATAAACGGTACAAGGACCTTTCCAGTCGAGGAAGCGGAGGGTCCTGAGCACTAACCCATTTTACTAATGTTTTATTGAGATGGGTTGAATATAAGGTATCGGGCGTGACTTAGTCTTCTTTGTTGTTAGTGTTTTCGTCATTAAATTGTTGTATCGATGTTGTAATTGCAAGTTCGCTGTTGTATTGATGAACTTATTGTAATAAGGGTTTAATTACCAGCTTTGAGGTACTACAACCTAAAGAGGTAAAAAGAATCCTCAGTTTTTGTCACGGTTGAAGAAAATCGGCGACAACTTGTAAACTTGAACCTGGAATTAGTAAAATGTTATCCATCACCTGATCATGTTACTTAAATTGAATACTCGGCAAAAAATTTCCCAATGCTTTTCCCAGAACATCTCGATAAATTGTTGGCTGTTGCTGAACATTTCCAGTTAGTCAAAAAAAAAGTCAAAGTTAGTTGTAATTTAATTTGAGAATTTCAAAGTCATAAAGTCCCTACAGGTATTATAGTATCGATTCGTACCCTCCATCATATCGGTAATTTTTCAAATCGATTGAAAGAGATGTTGGGTAGATATAGTGGTATCGTCACTTCACATAGTATTTCAATAAATAGAAAAGGAGAAACGGGTTCTCTTTGTGACAGCACGGCATTATTTTTACGATGTCATTCTAAACATTGTCGCACTCCTTGCAGATATATGCCGTTTTTTTCCTGTTTATGCGTTCGAAGCGTTGAAAACGTGCGCTCGTTTTGAAATGCATCATCTAGCGATGAATTGAAAAATTCATTGTTGTGGAATTCGTTGCTCGTCTTTGGATCCTATCATTGCTATTGCAAAAGATCGTATTGTTTATGGTATCCACGAGATACCTCAAAATGGAATTTGGGAACTTTAATATCCAAAAATTCGACCTGCAATCATTAAAATGTCCCTTACGAAAATGGAAAATTGAGACTAGAAAAGGTAGGACAGAAACAGGAGAAGTACGGTAAGGTCAAAACTGTCACGAGTAACGGTAGCTATACGTCACTTCTATACAATTTGTCAAATGTTTAGGACGTGGTTCTTGAGTTTTATCGATCTAGCCCCAAATTTAAGTAGAAAATAAAAATTAGGTCGATTCTTCTTTATATATCACCTCCAATTATTTTTATTGTTATTAGTACTTTAACTGCAATCAAACATGGCGGAAGGCGGTAATGGGGATGAGAAGCATATTATGCCTCCTCCTCCTCCTCCTCCTTATAAATCGATCTATCCGGGAATGTTGGAAGATATATCGGACAAGTTCTCTGCGATGGACGGTAAACCGAAAATCAACAACGGTTTTACTGATGGTATATCACTCATTATCGAAGCTGTAGATTTAGCTGCTCGGCGTCATCGTCAACAGCGTCGAAAAGATGCCGCGCAAACCCCATATGTCAACCATCCCATCGGTAAGTGATTTCTAATGCTCACTTCAATCTTTATCACTTTTCATCCCTATCATTCTTTCATTTAATTTTTTGGAAGTTGTACATTTACTAACCATCGATTGTTTTTATTAAAGAAAAAAAGAAAAGGGAAAAAAAACTGGCAATTAATTTATTGGATTGTTTCCTCGAATATTTATTAACTTCTATAAATATAATTACTACATTCTAGGTGTCGCGTATATTTTGACAAGTGAAGGACAAATAACCGATACAACAACAATCATTGCTGCTATACTACATGATATTGTTGAGCATACAAAAACAACTGATGAAGAAATTCGGAAAATGTTTGGTGACGAGGTATTACTCGTTCGGTGTTAAAGAAGAAAAAAAGACGCAATTCTTGAAAAGTTTTTTTAGTCAGTTCTAAAAGAAATGGATGGAATCATTTATGCGAATTTATGTGCAAAAACCTCTGGAAAACCAAATTGTTTCTATGATATAAGTTTGGGGTACGCTCCAAACTTCAGTTACATGTTGCGCCCAAATATGCGTCTAAATTAATTAGGGATTCGCTCTTTTTTTCTTGATGTTTTTTTAAAAACTTGATTGCATTGAGATAGCAGATATCGTTAAAGAATGCACAATGGTTAGAAGTATGAAGCGTGAAGCAAGAATGAAGTCTGAACTGGAAAAGGCATCGAAACTGTCGCATAAAGTAAGCCGGAATCTTTTGGAATTTTTATTTCAAAACTTTAGAAAATCTTTCGAAATTATTCCAGTTTTTCAATGCTCTTAACATATTGGCCAACAACCGTTTGAGAAAACTCAATGGAAGGGTTAAACTCCACATCATATCAAATACTTTTTTTCCTCAATCTATTGTCTTCCTGCTATCGACTATTTGAAATGTTTTTTCGTTCTACCCATAATGATGGTTAAGATCATTACTGAAAAGTACAGGATTTTCCTAGATCAAGTTATGGAAAATAAGTAATTTCATGTTCAATGGATTAATAACTACGATGACACTAAGATGCGAACTACTTGCCGACCACAACTGTCTCATTTCATCTATCTTTAATTATACGGTTCTTCTTTCCAGTATTCACCTTCATCGCTAATATGTATCTTTTCGAAGTTGGATAAATTTCGAAACTGATTATTTCAGGCAAAACTTGTACAGTTGGCAGATAAGCTGAATAACATTCGCGATATCGAGCGCGGTACACCATTAGGCTGGACAAAGCAGCATGTAACAGAATATATTATATTTGCGAAGGATTTGCTATCGAAAATCAGAGGGATACATGGTCCATTGGAATCAGCTCTTGATGATATTATCAATAAACATATCAAGTAATTTACGTACATTTAGTTTATTCGATTTTCGCACTACTCCTATCCGATATTCATAAACGTTTCTATAATTGCAACACTATTTATTCAAGTGTAATGAGAAATAATAAAGTTATCATATTGGTCACTTAACAAGGGTCTTGATGGATTTCTTCGGAACTTCCAAAGAAAATGTTCAGCTGATGGAATTCGTATAGTTACTAATCCGATTTAGATGTGATGGAATTTCATATCAGATATCCTGTGCTTTATTTCAATGTTCTCTTTTATTTATCTTGGTAGGATAGGAAATATTTGTTTTAAAGGTACGGAATAAAAAGTCTTTATCTCTTCCATTACCATATCTAATTCGGCTATTAATTTGTGTCTTCCTGAAACTGTCCATTTTACGAAATTTCCTGATACTATTGATGCTATACAGCAATGACAGAAGGAAATCATTTCATTAATCGAAGACAACGAAGAATGTTACAAATATAAAAATAATCATGCCATAGCGTAATCCGTACTTCTAGTAATATCTTGTCTATATTTGCTGAATTTCAGGCAATAAAGGAATTTTTTTGCTAATCTTTGTAGATATTAACCTCCAGGTCACCTATCGCTTGCCATCTTAGCATTGTTGGTTCAGGATCTTAGCGAATAAATAATCACTTGAATTGTTTTGGAAGACTCATTACATTCATCATCGCTGATTTGACATTCGAAAACAACACTCAAAATATATCGGAAACATTTTCCGACCGTATTCATTTCTCATGTAGACGAATGATCATTACAAGATGATTGCATCAGTTGCAAGCAGGGAAATTGAAAAACTTTCCGATATCTACATTTTGAACTGTATCGCGATACATTGATGGAAAGGAGGCGAAAGCATCAGTTAGCAAATGTTGTGTTCATTGGGATGGTCCCGATGTTTCTTCTTTAGGCATTAATAAACAATACTGAAGATACTGAACGAATGTGTTGTTTTGACTGGATAAAGATTCTGGCAGGGAAATATATTCCATTCAACTTTTAGTTTGAAACGCTTATCGCAGAATCATTTCAAATGCATGTTGATTTCCGAATTAATTTCCAATTTATAAAATTCCTTTCTGATCTTTTTATCTTTGAAAAAAACCTACGATATGTAATGAAGAATGTCGGGAGATATTGCGCTAGTAAAAACCACGAAATGATTTTATATATGCTTTAAACAAATAGATATGTGGAAGAGGAATAACAAAGTACTTGATCTAGGCTTGTTTTGCTATTTCATTTTCTACTCTTGGCTGGACAATTGTCACAATCATCCAAAACTTTTAGCAAGTAGAAGATCCAATTTTAATCATACTTTAATATAACAGATTATGGTCCACCCGATGCTGCTATTGTTGTCCTTTTGTAGAACTTCAATATCTTTCAAGGTCTTTAATCAATTGCAGCACTGTCCACATGAGATATTCTTTTTATCCTCCATTCCATTCCCCTAACAAACTGCTGATAATTTTAAGTTGAAAATTGCTCGATTCCCTTAAAAAGTCTCATTCAATCGAAAGTCCTAACACAACATAACACGTAAAAGAAATTAGAATATCTCGGGAAAAAAAATTCAGCAAAATATAAAATAACTTGACCAGAAAACAGTTTACGCTTAGGTTACATAAGATTAGCAACGGAGAAACGTCTTCAGTGGTATAGCTTTTCCAATCACTCTCTTATCTTGTATATCATATTTATAAACTTTGTTATCACCGAACAATATCACCTTTCTTCGGCGGATGAGTATACCTAAAGAATTCAGAGCACTGATTAGAATAACTAACTGCTTATCAGTTAATTATATGACTAAAAACAATTGCCATGCGCTTTTTTTTATGTTTTTTAAAATTTTGTCAGAATTCTATGCTTACAATACAATCAAAGTATGACAAGATTTTGCTTAATCTGTGACATCTTTTAATAAAACTTTTAACCCCTTATCTTGATGATTTTTTAATTTCTCTTTATTTCAAAAAACAATTCTTCAGGTATTTTATGCTGAATGTTATACAGGTAGGTAAATTTTGCACAGTATTTTATCTAATTCGTATGATACTGTCTTTCTAATATCCTACAAATAATTTATTATACTATGGATACGGTAAAGTTAAAAAAGATTATAAGCTAAATTATTTTATTCCAATCTTTTGAAATAGGCTAACAGTTTAATTGCTAAGTTATTTTACCTCGAATTGGTTTCGTTGGGAAATTATCGAAATAATTTATTACATCATTCTGTAACGTAACACGATTCCAGTTCTCATCGTATGTTGCAAAATGATTACCCTAAAAATGAAAGCAAACAAATTGTTGTAACAAAATATTAGAAATATCTGCACTAAAAAAAAAGGCTAATATTTATAAGCTTTCACGAGTTACAATGAATGGTGAAATTGACGTACATGCTATTTGAAATTAGCATAAGGATGAATGTTCAGTACCGATACTGTAATGCTAATTAATCATTGGTAATACATACAAATGATTAGAAAGTATTTTGATATGTTAACTTCAGTAATGCCAATGTGTGCGAAAACAAAAGACTGAAGTATTTGTAATAGGAGGAGAATGGAAATGATCTGATTTGATATATATATAATGTCACATTTCATGGTAATCATTTCTTTCTCTAGTATTTTAATGTCCTCTCTTTCAGTTCTAATCTATAAATTAACGTTATTTGTTTCAAACAATACTAACCTGAAAATCAAAAACTTAAAATTTTTTTACAGAAAAAAAATTAATTGGAAAAAAAATCTATCACACTTACATTGATTAAAATCTGTGATCCTTCAAGCCATAAAAATGCGCCCATTGGTTTGAAATTTAGCGCAGTTGGCAATTTCTTTGGATAATTGGGTTGTAACACAAATTTCATTGTACTTCTATTCAAATGATATACGTAAACCTATGGAGATCTCTTTTTAATTTCAAAAAAAATTTTCATTTACAATCAGAATTTAAAAATATTATTCGCATTCATCCATTTAATCTTTGATCTTGTATTGAAGTTTTTTTTGGTGTATTTTAAATGAAGGAAAAAATAAAAGTTTCATTGCTAGGAATCACCATAACCTTTAGCAATTTATTTTTATCATCTAATTACTTAAATTTGAACCAAAATTAACAAAATTACCTAAATTCTTAATGTTTGAAATGCAACGAATGACGATAACCATCTGAAGTCACATTAAATTCCCAAAATTGAAAACTCGGGTTTGTTAATTTTGACGAGAGATTCAAGTGATTAAAAGATAAGTAAATTGATAATTAATACCATTTGCTTCATATACCAACTACTAATTATAATTCAATACCAACCACTAATTATAATTCAATAATTCTTCAGGTAAGTCAATTTTGTGCTAAGTCAAACTTCAGTTAAGTCAATTTAGCCTTCAACAAAAAGAAATTTGTAAAAATTTAATTGAAATATCAATATACCATTCTTTCATGAAATAAAAGTGTCTTATCCTCACGTGGATTTGACAATGCACCTTGGACAAACGGTGGCCCATTTGGAAAAAGATTTTTCAACAAATATTCTTTTCTAATACCTGTATTACCAAATTCATATACTTTATTACCACTGAACAAATAATTTGAACCATCAGCTGAAACCCATCAATATTATCTTTCCTATGGTACTATTCCAATGATACAATGATTGCAGTGTATCATCAATTTAAATGGAACCCATTATTGTAATTGGTACAGTTATTGATTGATCTGATCTGATAATCATATTCTTTATCATTTTGTACTATACCACTATAAGCATT